TTTTTCCCCCCCCCCCCCCCGCCCCAGTGGCTAGTTTCTCCCTGCTTGTAAACACTGGAAAAGCATTTCCTCTGCAAACAATTTAAGAATCAGACAGTATAAACAGTCTTTTGCAGAGCTTCCTGAACAGCATGGGTTGCCTTCTCTCTCTGTTCTTTTTAACAGCTGCAGGGCATTTCTGTTGTCACAGACAGGTAAGGGGCTTTTCTGTTGCAGTACAGACACACAGGCTCCTAATGGAAGCCCTGTTATTGAATAAATAAGTGTACTTACTTTTTTTTTCAGAGAATGCATCCATGCTTTAAGTTTGTTTTGCAATTCTTTCAATAAAAAGTGAATATGTAAAATACATACTGGTAAAATGAAAACTGAACAGTATTTGTACATACATATATGTAAAAAAGGAGCATACCAAAAAAAAAAAATAATCTTGCCAGAGTTACTCTTTCTGACAGCTCTTCTGATTCACAAATTTAGTTTAACTAATGGACAGTGCCGGTCACAACACTAAGAAAGGCATACCTTAATGCTCTAGCCCGTCTAAGACCAGGTGATGAACCAAGTAGCTTAAATTAGAATTCCCTATACCCAAAATGCACCCTCCCCTCTTCACTTTTCCAAGTAAGATATAGTTGGCTTTCAGAATTTTTAACTACAAAGAAAGAAATAAAAGGTTTTCTATCATTTGTTTTAGAAGCGTTTTCAGTTATTTCTGTTTCGGCATCCACGCCCTAGGAAGACTGGTGGTTTATTCTGTGTCCTTCAACTCGTGCATGAAGTCAGAGAATTCCTGCACAGTCTTCACACGGGCTGAGCAAGCAACTTACTCTCCCTGATTTTTGAAAGCAAGCCTTGCAGCAGGGGAATGCTCTCAGCTACGCGCCCACCAGGGATGAAGCACTGGTGCTTACAATAATCTGAACAACAGGATAAGCGTGCCGTCAGTCAGACCAGCTTTCACAGTCTCCAGCAGTTTCTGCTTCCGTGACTTTCGGAGAGAATAGGGTGATTTCCCCCCCCGCCAGGAATTTTTCAGTCACCTTTTAATACAGTCACCTGTTTCATACACAGCATCCTGCAGTAAGGAGTTCTAGAGTTAGCTGAACAGGTACCTCGATTTGTTTCAAACCTGCCACTTCATGATTCCCTTGAGTTCTTGTATCAAAAAAAGAACGCTGAAGAATTTATTCCTTTGCTACCCTCTCCATGCCACTTGCTTTACAGATCTCTGTCTTGGCTCCTGTCAGGTTGACTTTTTCACCCCTGAGGTGAAGAGTTGTATTTTGTATAGTTTTTTCCAACACAGAGCCTAAATGTAGCCCTGTGAGGTGAAAGACAATAGAGAGCTAGGAAAACAAACTAGATTAATGTTTCTACAGCAGGGGCCACTTTACATACTGTGAGACAGACGGCATTAAAATAAAAACAGCTGTCCTTAACTATATAGGAATTGCTGAGCGGGTTCAGAGGAGGCAATGTAGCATATATACACTGAAGTAAAAAGACTAGAAAGACATTCGCCGAGGCTTGCAGCGCAGTCAGCACCTGTGAAATTCAAGAGCAGGGACTAAAGCACAGTTAGAACTGTGGGCTACTGAAAAGGAACATGGCTTTATTTCACTTCAAGAAGAAAAGCCTTTCTTGCTAAAAGCGGGGATGTTCTACAGTGTACCTGTGGACATCCAGAGCATGCTCAATTTCTACCCTGGTTCCAAAACAGAATCTCCCTTGTGTACATCCCATTAATTGTAAGGGGAAAAGTTCTTTTTAAAAAATACTAATTTATTTTAATGTTCTGCATTCTCAACAGCTGATATGAAAAGATCTCAGTTAAATGATTTTTTCATCCAATAA